CCCCAAAACCCCAAAACCCCAAAACCCCAAAACCCCAAAACCCCTTATATCAATAAGACGATAGAATTTGGCCTAAGAATGGATACTACATGAATGAAGTATATCTTTATTCTCTCTCGAAAACTCCGGCAGCTCCCATTCCGGTACCAATACACATTGATACAACTCCTAACTTCTTTCCGGTTCTCTCGAGTTCGCTGAAGAGAGTCTTGATTTGTCTGGCTCCGGTAGCTCCCAAAGGATGTCCAAGAGCAATGGCTCCTCCTCTTGGGTTAACCTTGTTCAAGTCCAACTTGAGATGCTTGGCAGAGTAGAGGCATTGACTGGCAAAAGCTTCGTTGATTTCATAAATATCAATGTCTTCAGTGCTCAAATTAGCCTTCTTCAAGGCAGCTGGGATGGCATAAGCTGGGCCAATTCCCATAACCTCAGGAGGTACACCAGCAACAGCGTAAGAGAGGACTCTTCCCATGATTGGGAGTCCCAAGCTCTCGGCAGTGGATCTTCTGGCAAGCAAAACAGCAGCAGCACCATCAGTTACTTGGGAAGAGTTTCCAGCAGTGGTGGATCCACCCTTCTTAAAAGCTGGCTTGAGCTTACCAAGTTTGGCGGCAGTTGTTCCCTCTCTCATTCCTTCATCCTTGTCGACGATGATCTCAGTCTCAGTATCATCTTCTCCCTTGATGATAGTCTTAACTGGGGTGATCTCTCCTGGAAGTCTTCCGTCCTTCTGAGCTTCACAAGCCTTTCTCTGGGAGTTTGCAGCAAATTCATCTTGCTCTTCTCTTGTGACTCCGTACTTCTCGGCAACATTTTCAGAAGTGATACCCATTGGCATTAAGCAGTTTCTAGCAACTTCGTGCTCGTAGACATCGTCAGAGATCAAGTCTGGTCTAATGGCGTCATTGAAGCTGTATTGAGACATGTTCTCAACTCCTCCTCCAATACCAATGTCAATTTGTCCACCTCTGATAGAGTTGACAATGTTCATGACAGCCTGAAGTCCAGATGAACACTGTCTGTTCACAGCAGATAATCCAGCGGTGTCTGGGATTCCAGCAAGGAATCCTCCCATTCTGGAGGTGGTGGCACCAGCTCCTGGGGCAAGAACGTTTCCGATGCAGATATCCTCGATCTTTCCAGCGTCTATCTTAGACTCTTCGACGACCTGCTTCAGGACTGCAGAGAGCATGATCTCAACTCCGGTATCTCTGAAATTTCCCTTCTTAGCCTTAGTCATGGCAGTTCTTGCAGCAGCAACGATGACAACATCGTCTCCTGACTTGGCTGGAGTAGTTCCTAGATGATTAAAGGCTGATCCTTACCTGAAGTAGCCTGAGCGGACAAATGTCCTCTTAAAATGTTAAGTCTTGAAGAAGCGGTTTTGAGATAACCCATATTTAAGATTTTAGATTTATTATTAATTGTAATGACGTGATTATTTATATTCGAAATGAACTATCCGGGGTTTTGGGGTTTTGGGGTTTTGGGGTTTTGGGGTTTTGGGGTTTTGGGG